TTTTCCACAGGCATCAAGATGGGTCAACATATTTCATTAGCACCTATTCACAAGCTTGAAGAAGCTCTGTATGAATACCAACCACTGCAAATAGAGACTTATGGACCACAGGTTCCTGAGCTCGAGGTACCAGGAAGACTTGGGTATTTAAACCACGTCAGAGCTGCCTCTCCACAGGATCTTGCTGGAGGCTACACTTCTTCTCTGGCTTGTCACAGAGCACTACAGGATGCATTCAGTGGGCTTTTCTGGCAGCCCAGTTAACCATTTTGTTTCTTTGTTTGTTTGTTTTTCCTCCCTTTATAAGATTTGGACCTTGGAGCCAAACTAGGGAGCTGGCAAAAGTAAAGCAGACCTGTAAATTACAGCTTTATGCGTCTGCATAGCAGTAATACCACTAGTTGTGTTAAAGTATTTATAAAGAGGGAATTTCTGAACTAAGCCAAGTAATATAGGGATACATATTTGTGGAGACTTATTTTTTACTTATATTTTCATGGGAGGGGTTGAAGCAGTAAGCCTCATCTGATGGAAGAGAGGAATAATTTGCTATGTATGTTCGAATTGACAGATTTGTAAAATCTTTTTAAAAATAAAGCTAGACTTTATATTGAGAAAAAAAAAAGAAAAAAATGTATTGGGTCATCAGAAAAGTCATGATGCATTTGTCTCTCTCTGTCTGGCGAGTGCACACACCCTATAGCGAAAACCTCTCCAAAAAAAAAAAGAAAAGTCATGATGCATTTTTGCAAGGAAAAACATAGAAAAATACATGACTTTTCAAACAACCCAATAAATAAATAAAGACGAGCAACTTTCCTCTATAGGAGCAATAGCCAGATAAAAATGGAAACTACAGGAGCAGACAGTGTCCCAACAGTAAAATGTGATGCTCTGCGAGGCTCACCCACACGGAAAGGTTGCAGGTTGGCACCTGGATACTTCTCCAAGTATTCCAGGAATGTATGTCCCCATGATCAAGGGCTGGGGTCAGGGGTGCATTGAGGCAGTGATATCTAATTGGGCCTGAGAGACAGTCTCTCAGTCTATCTCTTTTTTTTCAATTTTTGTAAAAAATGGTTTATCAATTCCATTTTTGTATAAAACACATGGGAGGAACCTAGCCAATCAACACACAACTGTCACCACATGAAAAGGTACTTTTATCAAACTTCGAGTCTAAGAACATACAAATGTTTCTTTTTATCATGTCTACAAGTAATTGTCTATGCTTTTCCATTTAACTGGTTTTTAAAATTCCACATATCCCCATTTGCCCAAGATCCCAAGAGGAGAATGGAGGAGAAGGGATTGTGGTGTGGCCATCCCCCCTGGGGGGTGATTTCTCGCTTTCTATCTCTCTGTCTCTCTCTGTCTGTCTGGCAAGCGCACGTGCCCTATAGCAAAAACGTCTCCAAAAAAAAAAGTATTTTTTATCAAACTTCGAGTCTAAGAACATACAAATGTTTCTTTTTATCATGTCTACAAATAATTGTCTATGCTTTTCCATTTAACTGGTTTTTAAAATTCCACATATCCCCATTATTTCTTCTGTTACAGTACAATGTTGGGGAGGAAGAGGGTTTGTTACAACAGTCTTCTAAGCTGTTTTCTGCTGTCCCTTCTTTCCAACCAGAGATTTGTGGATGTGAGGGATCACACCCCCCCCAGCTATGGTTGCTTTGATGGGAGAATCCAATTCCTCATCACCACGGATTGCGAGCTGTAAGTGCCGTGGAGTGATGCGCTTCACTTTGAGATCCTTGGAAGCGTTACCTGCCAGCTCCCGTACCTCAGCAGTGAGGTACTCCAGAATTGCAGCACTGTACACGGCAGCAGTGGCACCCAGCCTTCCATGGCTTGTGGTGTGAGTCTTCAAGTGTCTGTGGATGCAGCCCACAGGAAACTGCAGCCCAGCTCTCTGTGAGCGAGACACTGCTTTAGCCTTGGCCTTCCCATTGTCCTTTCCAGCTTTGCCTCCAGCCATGATCTCGGCACCCACTCTGTCTCCTCTCGGCTGCGCACCCTCCCGCTGCCGCCTGCGCTGCCACCCGTGCCAGTCTGTCTCTTATTCATGCAAGGCATAATAAAGAAAAACAAAAACATAAAACCAGAACCATATCCTACAATATCAAGAAAGTAGCAGCTGAGGAGAGATAGGAAAAGGAGACTGGGAATAGACAAATGGGAACTAATTATACCTGAGTTTTGATGTAAAAGTAGAAATCAAAACTTGAAAATCTGAGGGCTAGCAGGTGGCATAGAGGTTACAATGCTGGATCCCACATGGCTGACCATGGTTCAATTCCCAGACCTGGTGGCTGGCTTTCTCAGTCTCTCTCACTCGCTCTTGCTCTCTCTCACTCTGTCCCACTCTGATCAAATTAAAATAAATAAAGTTAATAAAATAATTATTTTAAAAATTATGAAAATTTAAAAATGGAAGAATAATGATAGTAAATAGAGGGGGGGAGGACAGGAGGAGAATGAGAGAGTGGGAGAAAATGAGATGGCACCCCTCCACATGAGGCATGGTTACAATTTCTTTACCCTTTCTCCCTCTTTTCAGGATGCACTTGAATCCTGCATGTTTTTCAAGCTGCAGGGTCGGACTCAGAACCACATAGTCACGTGCGATACCAAAAATTATTTAATTTTATTTATTATTATTCAGTTTGAGCAGAGAGATAGAGAGACAGAGACAGAAAGCCGCCTGGTCTAGCACTTGAACCATAGTTGGTCATGTGGGAGTCCAGTGCCCTAACCACCACTCCACCTGCCAGCCCCGATATCTAGCTGCTTTAATTACCAGGCCACCCACTGGCCCCAGAATCATAAAATCTTGTGTGCAAAATTATAAAAAAAGTATACACACAAAGCAACACGTTAATATAAAAACAGGGACCAGAGGATGGCGAAATAGTTACATCGTTGGACTCCCATGTGGTCAACCACAGTTCAAATCTCAGACCTAGTGGCTTAAAACTCACATCAGGCACACATGCATACATGCCAAGATCCTGAGAGAATGAAGAAGGGAGTGCAGCATGGTCATGCCCCCTGGCGGGGGTGATTTCTTGCTTTTTGTCTCTGTCTGTCCAGTGAGTACACGTGCCCTATAGCAAAATAAATTAATTAAAAAAAAAAAAAAAAACATGGGACCAACAGTTGGTGTAATGGCTATGTCACTGAATTCCCATGTAGTTGACTGCGGTTCAAGTCCCAGACGTGGTGGCTTAAACTCACGCCAGGTGCATGTGCGTGCATCTCCAAGATCCCAAGAGGAGAATGGAGGAGAAGGGATTGTGACATGGCCATCCCCCCTAGGGGGTGATTTATTGCTTTCTGTATCTCTGTCTCTCTCTCTCTCTGTCTTTCTGGCAACCACATGCACCCTATAGCAAAAACTCTTCAAAAACAAAACAAAACAAAAACCATACTGAGGGGCCAACAGTGGTATAGTAGTTAAGGTGCTAGACTTCCACATGGCCAACCACAGTTCAAGTCCCAGATTTTGTGGCTTGCTTTCTTACTTCCTCTCTCTGTGTCTGTCTCTCTCTGGTGAGCACAAATTAAAAAAATAATAATAATAAATTAAATTTAATTAAAAGAAACATACTGAGAACTTCAAGAAATTGATAACAGAAGAGATCCAAATACTCTGAATGGACAATTCAAGAAATAAAAACTCCAAACAGGCCAGCTTCTGTGGCACAGTTGGTAGCATAAAGAACTATAGTGCTAGAAGCCACAGGGCTCACCACAGGTTTGGATTCCTGCCCAGTCAACCTACAACATACGTGGTGTGCACTTGCACTCCCAAGATCTTTAAGAACTAAAAGGCTGAGCAGAGGGGACTGCAGAGTAACCAGACTTCTTTGAGGGGCCTCCCTTTCTCTCTCCTGCACGTGCACACATTCTATCATGAATAAAATAAGTAAACTCAAAATAAAATTCAAATATCTAATAAGTGTATGAAATGCTAATCAGGCTTATCAATAATAAAAGAAATGCAAATTAGAATAATAATAATTTTTCCTGATCCAGCAGGTGGTGGTGTGGTTAAAGAGCTGTATTCCACATGGACAAGTGTACAGTTGGAGTCCCAGACCCGTGACTTGAAAAAACACACCAGGGGCTCATGTGCATTCCAAAAATCCTGACAAGAGAAAGGAGAAGGGATTGCAACATGGCCATCCATCCCCATGGGTGATTTCTTACTTTCCCTCTCTCTCTTTCTCTTTCTCTCTTGCCAGCAAGAACATATGCCCTATGGCAAAAATCTAAAAATAAGAAAGAAAAAAATTTCTTTTAAAATTTGGAGTCAGCCAAGTGGGGTGGTGTTTAAGGTGGCTGGATCCCACGTGGCCAACCACAAGGGTCAAGTCTCCAATGTGGCAGTTTAAAAAACACACGGGTGTGGGGGTGGGGGCAGCAGATGGCGTAATGGCTATGTCACTGGACTCCCATGTGGTCCACCGCAGTTTCAGTCCCAGACCCAGTGGCTTAAACTCACGCCAGGCGCGTGTGTGTGCATGCTCAAGATCCCGGGAGGAGGATGGAGGAGAAGGGATTGCAGTGTGGCCATCCCCCCGGGGGATGATTTCTTGCTTTTTGACTCTATCTTTCTGGTGAGCGCACACATCCTGTAGCAAAAACCTTTCAAAAAACCCCCAAAAACCAAACAAAACAAAAACACTGGGTATATGTGGATGTGTGCTCAAAATCCCAAGAGGAGGATGAAGAAGAAGAGATTCCAGCATGGCCATTCCTCTGGAGTGTGTATACTCACTCTCTGTCACAGGGCATGTGCACTAGCTAGAAAGAGACAGAGAGGGAAAGTGAGAAATTATCTCCCCCACCCAAGTACAGCCATACCAAAATCCTTTCTTCATTCTCCTCTCAGGATTTTGGGCATGTGCACACACATGCACAGGCATTTTTTTCATGCCACCAGGTCCAGGACTCAAACCAGAGTCAGCCACGTGGGATCCAGTGCCTTAACCACATCACCTGCTGACCCCTAATCTGGAAATACTTTTAAAAGTTAAACACACACATTTTTGGGCCCAGGATCTCCACTTTCGTGTGTGTGTATGTGTGTCAGAGGGTGCATGTGTTCAGGGTGAGGGAATAATAAGAAAGCACACAAATTTGGGGCCAGCAGGTAGTGTGGTGGTTAAGACACTGGATTCCCATGGTCAACCATGGTTTGAATCCTGGACCCAGCAGTTCGAAATTCATGAGGGGCATGTTGTACATGTGCCTAAAATCTGGAGAGGAGAATGGAGAAGGAAGTGCAGCATGGTCATCTCCCTGGGAGGTGATTTCTCGCTATCTGTCTCTCTGTCAAGTGCATGTACCCTATAGCAAAAATCTATTTAAAAAAAGAAAAAGAAAAAGAAAGAAAGAAAAAAGAAAACACACACCAAAATCCCATCTCCTCCATCTTTCCTCCCTTTTGGGACTTTGAGCATGTACGCACAGCAGGTTTTTTTTGTTTGTTTGTTTGTTTTTTAGAGATTTTTGCTATAGGGCACGTGTGCTCACCAGACAGAGAGAGACAGAGAGACAGAAAGCGAGAAATCACCCCCCAGGGGGGATGGCCACGCTGCAATCCCCTCTCCTCCATTCTCCTCTCGGGATCCTAGGCATGCACGCACACATGCCTGGTGTGAGTTTTTGTTTTGTTTTGCTTTGGGGTTTTTTTTTGAGAGTTGTTTTTTGTTTTGTTTTGTTTTGTTTTGTTTTGTTTTGTTTTTGCTATAGGGCACATGCGCTCGCCAGCACGCACATGTGCCCCGTGTGAGTTTTAAGCCATCGGGTCCGGGATGTGAACCGCCGTCAACTACATGGGAGTCCAGCGACATAGCCATTACGCTAACTGCTAGTCCCTACAGCAGGGTTTTCAAGCTACTGCGTATAGGATTCAAACTGTGAAGTCAGCCATGTGAGATCTAGTGGCCTTAACCACTGTCACAGGCTGGCACTGCCTTCCACTTTGTTGTTCTTGTTAATAGATTTTTGCCATAGGGCATGTGCACTTACTGGAGACACATAGAGAGACAGAAAGTGAGAAATCACCCCTCAGGGGGGATGGCCATGCCAGAATCCCTTCTCTTTCATTCTCCTCTTGGGATTTTGGGCATGCACGCACATGTGCCTGGTGTTGTTTTAAGCCACCAGGTCCAGGACTAGAACCATGGTTGACTATGTGGGAGTTGTTCAGCAACGTAAATATTACACCATCTGCTGGGCCAGCCTTCCACTTTTAAGAGTCCTCTTTTGGGACCAGTAGTTAGCACAATTGCTATGTTGCTGGACTCCCATGTAGTCGACCGTGGTTCAAGTCCTGGACCCGGTGGCTTAAAACTCAGGCTGGGCGCCTGGGCGTGCGTGCCCAAGATTCAGAGAGGAGAATGGAGGAGAAGGGATTGGGGCATGGCCATCCCCTCTGGGGAGTGATTTCTCTCTTTTGAAATATACACGCAAGGCTGTTGACTACAGTACAATTTGCATGCCAAAAAAAAGAAAAACAGTACTTGGAACCAGCAGATGGCATAATGGTTTCATTCCTGGACTCCCAAAATGGTCGACCATGGTTTGAGTCCTGGACTTGGCAGCTTCAAACTCACATCAAACACATGTGTATCCAAAATAATGAGGGGAGAATAGAGAAGGTACTGCAGCATAGCCATCCTCTCTGGGGAGTGATTGCTCACTTTCTGTCTCTCTGACTCTCTGCCTCTCTGGTGAGTGCACATGTCCCATAGCAAAAATCTCAGAAAACAAAAACAAAAACAAACTAGGAGTCACACACTATTCCACATATGGGATGCTGTGATACATCCACAACAGGAAAGTGACACCCAATATTTTATTTTATTTTTTTTTTGAGAGGTATTTGCTGTAGGGCACGTGCACTTGCCAGAAAGAAAGAGTCAGAGAAGGGAATCCTCTGAGAGATGGCCATACCCCAATTCCTCTCCTCCATTTTCCTCTTGCATGTACACATGCCCGTCTATTTTTCAAGCCATTGGGTCCAGGGCATAAA